AATTTAGGAGCCAAGTGGCTATCAGAAAAAAAAGTTAATTTCACGCCCTGCAAATATTTAGAACTAACATATAAGAATTTTAAGGAAAGTAAGGAGAATTACTAATGAGATCTTGGGGTTGAAAGGGTTGAAATCTTAGTGCAGCTAAAATCTTGAAAAACTGGATAGACAAGAAATATTTAGAATTCGTTTGTGTTAATTCTGGAAAGTCATAGATTTTGAGTGGGGCCAGAGATACAGTAGCAATCAAATCAATAGAACATGAGAATGCACAGGAAAGCACAAAATATTGTTTTCTAAGTAAATGGCTACTTTCACTTTCTAGGAAACCCACTTTTCAAACCTTTTTACAGGTATTATGTGGGCCGTGAAAAATGCTAAAAAAGTCCAAGGATACTGTACCTTTTGGAAAGTGATGTTTCCAATTTTTTGTAAGGTTCTGAAAGGATACAAATGAAACTTTCCAAAACTGACAGAAAAAATGCACTAAAACATACTTATGTGAAGATTATATTAATTTTACTACGCATGAGTTGAAAACTTTTTGCATTGAAGCATATTCTGTACTGGGTTTATGTCTACATGTGATATGCAAACTCCTTTCTTCACCCTCTCCTCCCCAAGGTTATTGTGGTACTCCTCTTTGTACATGGCCTTGATGAGATCAAGCATTCCACTCTTGTGAAGAAGGGATCAGTGTTATTGAACTTGCAGTGGTATTTTTTTGTACTGAAGAGGAAATTTATTTTATTTTGCAGCCTGAGACTGATCCCAATCACAAATGGGCATCCCGTTGGGACTACATTCTTGATTCAATGCCACACACAAAAATCCAGTGGTTTAGGTAAGATATACTCCACATGTACTAACATACTGGGGTACTGTGGCAAGTAGATGAGCAGAGTTGTTTATCTGCAGTGAGGCACAAAAGTGAAGAATAATTAGTTACACTGTAGATGCAGTTGTCAGCTATGAGTTGATCAAGGCAGGGTTTCAATATCTTTTTCTATAATCCATTGCTGATGGTGCATTGTGTGGCTATATTGTAAGGTAAAATGCAAACATCAAAATATAAATTAAACAATAACCCCTTGTAGATGAGCTTCTTTCCTTCCATCATCTTTCTACTTCATAATGTATTGACAGTACAAGATGAATTGTCTTTGTAGTTTTACATACAGTTTTCAGCTTATCATGTCGCAAAGAGTCTTTGATTCAACTCAGAGGCTTGTGTAATTGCCACTGGTAGGAATGCAAAGATGTGATGTTTTTTGCTACAGTCCTCTTGATGGCATTGATCCACTCTAACATGTGATCTTATTAGTGTTGTGATCTTTTGTCCTCAGCATCATGAATTCATTGGTCATTGTGCTCTTTTTGTCTGGAATGGTGGCCATGATTATGCTGCGAACTCTGCATAAGGACATTGCTCGTTACAATCAGATGGAGTCAGCGGTATGTAGTCAGATCTAAGATTTTAAATAGAGAAGTTGGTTGGCATAAAATGAGACTTGTCAGAGAACCAAGTTCAATTTTTTTGGAAACATTTGAAGTTAACTGTTTCAAGCCTTAATACCTCTTACTGACAAAGTTTGGGGGTTATGCTTCAAGTTGCTGACTGTGTTTTTTTGCCCCTCTGATTGTGTGGACAATTATATGAAAACAAAAGTGCTAAACTGAAAGTTAGAAGCAATTGATGATAAATGAGACATAATTTTGCTAATTTAACTTTAAGTGAAATATAACCCACTGTATGGACCAATCATGGCATTCATAATAACTGAGAGATGAAATTAATATAATTTATCACACCTTTTGTAGGAGGAGGCTCAAGAGGAGTTTGGCTGGAAGTTGGTCCATGGAGATGTCTTCCGCCCTCCAAAGAAAGGAATGTTATTGTCTGTCATGTTGGGTTGTGGAACTCAGATATTTATTATGGTGTTTTTCACATTAGGTGAGATTGACTTAATGTATTTTTCCATGGCCTCAAAAGAATTGTATACATTTTCATTTGCATTACTGGGTATGTTTTTTCCCCTCTGGATGAGATTCCAGTCCTTAGCAAGTTACCTGGGCAGTTTGCCAGTACCCACCCTGAGTGGGGAGAGGCCTAGCAAGAGGATGATGACTTGTCGGAGAATGTAACATTCTAATCTTGACCTTTCACCGACTACTTTTTTCTACTCTTGTTTGAGTTTGTTTCATTTTATTTTTGCTCATGTCATGGATCGGTTTTTTTTTCCTCAACTACATGTATGTATTAACTCTATATTGAGCTTTTTAACTAAGGTGTTGTCTCATAGATTAAATCTTCTTTTGTTCCTCTTCAGTGTTTGCTTGTCTTGGATTCCTTTCACCTGCGAACCGTGGAGCATTGATGACTTGTTCATTGGTGAGTTGCTGCCTAATATTCTTTGGAAAAAAAAGCAAAAATCTTCCAAATCAAATGTACATGTAATGCCCTAGTATAATAGAACATCTCTTAAAAATCTTTTCCTAATCAGCAACCACTGCCACATTGTTGTGTTAGATCTTTGTAAGGTAGTTGGTCAAACACCATTTTTCTAAATGCAGTGGTCAGTGAGTTTTGATTTTTTTGGCCTAAACCTCCAACAGGTGCTATTCAGCAAAGGTCACATGTAACTCTCTATACACATGTAACCTTCAGTTTGGTAAATATTGAGAAGAGTCGTTTGGAATAAGTGTGAAAAAAGGCGTGAGTTTTATTTACTAAAATGTTTAAGAACCCAGCCAAAGAAGTTTACTGAAATGACATGTATATGTGTAGGTTAATAAGTACAATGTACATATTTTTTTATCTATTTTTTTTTTTTGTAGGTGCTGTTTGTTTGTCTTGGTTCACCTGCTGGTTATGTTTCTGCCAGAATTTACAAAAGTGAGTGCCATGGATAATAAGCATTTGGTGGTATTGTCAAGGGAGAAAATTACATGACATCATTGAAACAATTTTTGTTTTTATACTTTTTTCTCAGTAAGGTAGATTTTGTCTTTTTGTAAAAGGTATTTGCTTGTTCGCAATTTTTTTTTAAGTTATGTAGAAAGAAATGAACTTTCTCTGTATACTGTACAACTGTTATGCAGCCCTTCTATGCATGCCCTATCATCCTTCAGTGTCCCTGTTATTCTGGGTGGCATTTTCCATTCAACAGAATTCTAATAATGCTTGGTAAACTTATTTTTTTCCTGTTTAGTGGTTGGAGGAGAATTATGGAAGACCAATGTCCTGTTATCAGCGTTCTTTTTCCCTGGGTGAGTACTCGTTGATGCAAACATGAACACTACAGTATACAGCTGGAAAGAATGAAGTTCGGTGAAGCTGCTTTTTTTGTTTGTGACAGGAAGACTTTTCAGTTTGACTTGTAAAACTCAATGTAAGAGGTATTCATTGCAAAGATCTTTTAGGAAGGATTTGAAATTCTTAAGATTACAATGTAAACTGCTAAAAATACTCAGTTTGATAGCTACTCAAAGTAAGTCTAATGCCTTATTGTGTGAAAGTTTTGATTACAGTAGAAATGCATCTAAAAAGAATGAATCATCATTTTTATCATCGTCATCATCATCATTTCAATGATCTTTGTTATCATCTTTATCATTATCTTTATTGTGGTCTTCATCACAGTCAGTGTAATTGTCATTTTCAATATTGCTGCCATAACTATCACCCTTGTCAAATGTAATAACTTTTTTCTTTGATTCCAGATTGATGTTTGGAATTTTCTTCCTGTTGAATCTTGTTCTGTGGTCAGAGGGTTCCTCGGCGGCTGTTCCATTCACCACTTTACTTGCCTTGTTAGCCATGTGGTAAGTCTAAACCTGAATCATTATCAGCCCATGACTCTGCGCATTTTATGAAACATGCACGAAATGTAAATTTTTCCTTTTCCCTTTCTTACTCGATAGGTTTGGAATTTCAGTTCCACTTACATTCCTGGGGGCTTACCTTGGATTCAAGAAAAAGGTAATTTCAGTACATGTATAAACCGCTGATAATTAAGGTAGTAGTCAATGTAAACGTAAAGTCAGCCTGTTGGCTAGAAAACCCATCTGGCCAACACATATCCTGGTTTCCATAGCATAAACCCTAGACACCCTAACATTGGTATCCATATTCTCCCAACTGTCCTCTATACATTTCCTTAGGTGTTGACTAGGAGAGTTTGTTCAAAAATCAAGAGCTTCTTTACTTGGTGATCATTTTCTCTATTCTCGTGACCTTCATGTTTGATTCAAGGGTGAGATTGTAAGGAGAAATTGCTGTAGATGCTTGTCATTCTCAGGAGTTGAGTGGCTAAGCGATTTGGGGTATTGTTTCCTCTTGCCTCTCTTAGACGAGATGCCAGTATGCGCGGGTTTGCTTTTCGCGTTTTTTTCTTTTTTTTAATCAAGTTCCGTCAACAGTTTCTTAGAACCCATTGATGCTCCGAAGTGGAGAGAAATGCTGTGATAGTAAAGTTTCTTGCTCAAAAAGGCATTATGAAGACCCTGCCTTGGCTCGAACCCTGACCTCTCGGTCCTTTAGACCTTTGACACCTTCCCATGTCAGTACAATTATGGATTCTGAAGAATGTTTGTTTTTTCCTTTAGCCAATTGAGCAACCAGTTCGAACCAATCAAATTCCTCGTCAGATTCCAGACCAGGTAAGTACAATTACGGACTCTGAAGAATACAGAGCACCTCAAGTTAGAGGTTTACAATCTAGGTAGTTCCACAGGTCAGTTCTAATTCACACACTACCTTTGCCTTAACCATTTTATATTAGACAATGATTCATTAGTATCTTGAATTAAGATAACGACTGAATGTCTATTTTAGCGAAGTTTTCAATTGAGTGTCGAAAGTAATTCGGGATTTTGTTCTTCCTCGCTCCGTGATTGGTTTAGAAAACTCGCGCCTCTCCATCAACCAATCAGATCCAGAACTAAAAGCAATCACGACTTGGTAACCCGCGTTTTCCCGCGCGTTAGGCCTGGGTTTTTATTAGCTCTTGTTACTTCGACTTGGTAACCCGCGTTTTCCCGCGCTTTAGACTTGAGCTTTATTGGCTCTGTATGGTAACTTCTTTCCTTCTGATTGGCCGTTGCAATTACGGTGGTTTTGCTGTTACGTTACTAAATCAGAAAGCGCCTTAGTGCTCTACGTGTAATAGATTTGTATTAAAATCATTAAGATATTGTCTCAAAATAAAATATTGTTGTCTTGCAGAGTATTTACACCAGAGCAGGACCAGGAATCATCATGGGAGGTGTTCTTCCGTTTGGGTGTATTTTTATCCAGTTGTTTTTTATCTTAAACAGTATTTGGTAAGTCTCTTTATTGTATGAATTATGGAGATTTTTACCTAAATTTATGTTAAACCGTTAGATTTTTCTCCTTTTTTTTTCTGTTTGCGTGTAACTTGTTACAGCCCCTTTACGTTTTTTACAAACTCGTAAAGCAGACTGCCTTCCTGACAAGCAATTAATGTATTTGTAGGAGTATCAGGCGAACTTGGATGATGCAAACTGTATTTGAATCCAAATGTTCTTCTCCAAATTCTGCCATACATATATTTTGTCGTGCAAAAAGCTATTTTATTCTCTATTGTAAGGAAAAGTCTTAACAATTTCATGTGAATACGCAATAATACAGACAGCCTCCTTAAATTCCACTTTTATTGTATAAACTTCTTGAAAAATACTCGCTTATTTATTTTTAGTTCGGATTATCGGGTGACCCAACAAAACGGTAGTTCGATGCTTCATTTTAGTTTGAACTGTCAGTATGAGTGATTTTATTGCTTTTTTTCTGCATCAACCAGGTCGCATCAGATTTACTACATGTTTGGTTTCTTGTTTGTGGTTTGTTTAATTCTACTGTTGACCGTGTCAGAGACCACCATACTGTTGTGTTATTTCCATCTTTGTGCTGAGGTGAGGAAATTCATGAGGTTAAATTCTAACCAAAACTAGTCTTTCCATGGCTGTTTTCTTCACAGTTATGGGAGGGAGCGCGAAGCGATCGCGTGTGAACGAGCGCGGAATTATCCCACCCTTAAGGGTTCACGTAGGTAGCTCCCTAGCGGCTTCTTTTGCGCCCAAACATTGGACAATGATCGAAGGGAAAACAGTGATCTTCGAGCGGACCACACCAAAATTTTACTTTATCGTACGGTGCTTTATACACCTTAACATTTTGCTTTCGTACATTCTAGTCACCCTTACATTTCTATCTTTTATATTTTGACATTCAACACGCTTTCTCGTTCGTGGCAATTTTGAAGCAGAGAAAATTCTTGTTACGGTTGGAGGCGAAGCTGTGGCTTTCACTACTAGATAGAGCTTCTCTATGCATTAGGGTTACATTCGTGTTTAGTATCCTTGGAAG